CCAAAGGCTTTGGCTGAGCAAATTAGGTGTCAATGGGGTGCCTGCGCAGGCAGTACTCTCTCTAATTAGTCTCTTGAGCCTAGTTGGTGGCGGGTATGAGATGATCTAATCAATTGGTCTGTGTCTGATGGTTCGTGTAAAAATCCTACCAGGCAGACTCTCTCCCACAGGTCACCCACCTGCACAGCGGGACTGCTCATTTTCATTTTTCATCTCTTCCATCACATGATGCTGACAGTTGGTTTTAAGAAAATTGAATCCAAAAAATATCTAGTTCATAGGGCACATGGGTCAGAACAAAGTTGCATTATGGGTACCAGTGATCCAATTAATTAATATTTATAGCCAAGAAGCTCTATGTAGATATTTTTGAATAAGGATTTTATCAATCAAATCCAATTTCTTGTTTAAAACATTCATTTCTAGAGAGAAAGAACATTGTAAAAGCTGAAAGCAAGATAAAAATGGCATCCATTAATCTTATGATTTATATACCTATAAGTGGCTATGCACATAGTTGAGCTTATAATTCATATTCACTGTTCATTTGTATTGTGCATGCTACATATTTTAATAATAAAGGTAAGGAAAGATTTACATTGCTATTATATTTTGCTTTCCTGTGATTGTAGTATACCCTCTCTCCTTCTACCTAAATCCCCATTCATCAAATGTATGATTGCATTTAGATTTTCTTAACAATTTTCTAGCAAAACCTGACCTACCTGATACGCACTCATTGAAAATGGAAGCTAATGCTACTCAAGGAGGAAAAAGGGACGTCCCTCGCTGCTGGTGAACAGCACCAGGCAGGGTAACCGGCATAATTTGAGGCATTTGGAGTCATCTCACAGAGATGGGAAAGTGTCCACCTCCCTTCTGTTCTCATTGTTGGCTCCTTCCATTAAATGTTTGAGCCCAAATCTAAGTAATGGACTTATCATAATCACTGTGTTCACCATTTATTATCCACTTACTATTATTGTGTATTATCCTTTATCATGCAATTCTGTTTATGCCCTAGCTTAGGCACATATGATTCTCCTAGAGATTACACTCAAGTAATCAGGACAAAGGCAAGAACAAACACCATCGGCATCTAAAAAACATCTTAACCCAACAGGATAGTAAATATGCCATTGACTATGGTGACAACATAGTTTATTGTTACATGAAATCAGATGTACTAGAAATCAAATCATTCTTTTCAAGTATAATGTCATGGAGTTAAAAAAAAAAAAGTAAGTTTTGCCTACAGGAAGGTGTTAGGAAGGTGTTAATCCTACCAACCATCCTCAGGCTGGTGGTGTATCTGGATGGCCTGCTCTGCATGCAGCTCTGTGCTGTTTCACAGGCCTCGCATTTGCCTTCAGTGAATGTGCCGTAGGGAACTCTACATCTGAGAACATACTCCACCTTCAAGTCTTCAGATTCTACAGTTTCCCCCTTTATTCATTCAACAACTGTATATTGAGTGCCTGAGCCAGGCATGGTCTGTGCTCTGGGGACACAAGAGTCAACAAAATCAAGCTTAATCAAGAACACACTGATGCCACCTGTCCCCTGATTGCTCCTTCATAGGAAGTGTCTTCACACCTCAGGAGGGACTAAATGAAGTCTATGGTTCAGGAAGTCAGTGTGGGTACCAAGTCTCCATTCTGTTGATTAGAGTGGTAAAAGAGGGGAAAGTCAGGAAAGACTACATCATTTAAGTATAGTTGTAGGAACTCCATGCCTGAGCAAGCAGATGTCAGGACAGACCTATGGCACCCATTTAGCTGGGGTGGGCAGGCTTCCAGAAAGAGCTGGAATCTCAATTGCTATTTAATTAAATGGAAGGAAAAAGACACTTTTGTCATCTGCTTAATAAAAATGTCAATGCTGATAGTAGGGTTGAGGTTCGGGTGAGGATGCCTGTGGACAAGTGTGCTTGAAGTACTATGAGGATGAGTGCTCTTTCATCTCGATGTCATGGACCTCAAAAAAGATACCAATGCCTAGATCAGACTGCATAGTTACATGGAGCAGCATGTAGAGCACGTTCTTTCTTCATTTCCCTGAAAGAACAAGGGTAGGCTGGAGACAAAGGAGGTTGTTCCCGTGTAATTATTTTTGCTAGGGTGGTGACTTAAGAAGAGGTTTGATAAAGTCATAGTTGCACAATCAAGCAAGGATGAGGAGTGGTCAAATAAGCCTCATGGACAACTGCCCCACAAGCAGCAAGGATTTGAGATAATAACTGAGGAGTTGGGGTGTAGGGGTAGCAAAGGGTCTATGTGTAATATTCATCTACCCCCCAGGCCTCTCCTAGAAACTTAAGGAAGGGCTTTTGTTTACCTTTGGCTCAGTAACTGATGACAGAGAACTCTCAAGAATAGAAGGTTACCCCTACCTCATACCATATAGAAAACTTCACTCAAAATAGACTAAAGATATAAATGCAAGCACTAAAACTATAAGACTCTGAGAAGAAAATATAGGGGTAAATCTTTGTAACCTTGGATTTCACACTGGGTTTTTACATGTAACTCTAAAAGTATAAGCAACAAAAGAAAAAAGAGATAAATTGAACTTTGCTGAAATTTAAAACTTTTGTACATCAAAAGACACAGTCAACAGAGTAAAAAGGCAACCTATGGAATAGGAGAAAAGTTATAATATCTGATGAGGAATTAATATCCAGAATGTATAAAGAACTCCTACAACTCAACAACAAAAAGACAACCCAATTTAAAAATGAACAAAGGACATCAATAGATATTTCTCCAAAGAAGATATTCATATGGCCAACAACCACATGAAAAGGTCCCCAACAGCCTGGGCATGGTGGCCCAAGGAAGGCAGATGGCTTGAGTCCGGGAGTTCAAGACAAGCCTGGAAAACATGGCGAACCCTCATCTCTACAAATATAAAAAATTAAACAGGCATGGTGGTGTGTGCCTGTAGTCCCAGCTACTTGGGAGGCTGTGATGGGAGGATCAGCTGAGCCCAGGAAGGTCGAGGCTGCAGTGAGCTAGGTCTGAATCACTGCACTCCAGCCTGGGTGACAAAGCAAAACAGAAAAAACAGAAAATCTTTAAAAAAAAAAAAAAAACAGAAAGGTGCCCAGCATCACTAATCATTAGGGGAATGCAAGTGCAAATCCAGGTCATACCCACTAGGATGGCTATCATTTTTTTTTTTAACAAACAAACGTTTTGGCAATTGGAACCCTTGTACATTCCTGGTGGGAATGTGAAATGCTGCAGCCATGATGGAAAACAGTTTGGCAGTTCCTCAGAAAGTTAAACATAAAATTTCCATGTGACCTAGCAATTTCACTCCTAGATATATACTCAAAAGAATTTAAAACAGTGTTTAAACAAATAATTGTACATGAATGTTCAGAACAGCAATATTCACTATTAGCCAAAAGATGAAACAACCCAAATATACATCAACCAATGAATGTATAAATGAGCTGTGGTGTATTCCAACAGAATATTATTCAACCCTAAAAAATAATGATGCTACAACATGGGTGAACTTCAAAAACATCGTGCTAAGTGAAAAAAACTAGACACAATGAGTCATATATTATAAGATTCCATTTGTATGAAATATCTAGAATAGGTAAATCCATAGCGACAGAAACGTTAGTATTAATAGTTGTCAGGTCTAGGACGAGGAGGGATCGGGAGTGACTGCTTATAGGATGTAGGATCTCCTTTGGGGGTGAAGATGTTTTGGAACTAAATAGAGATGATAGTTGTACAACATTGTGAATGTGAATGCACTGAATGCCACTAGGTTGTATTCTTTGAAAATAGTTAATTTTGTTTTCTATAAATTTTGCTTTGATTTTAAGAAAGAATGGAAATTTAACATGCCGTTTGCTTTGATTTTAAGAAAGAATGGAAATTTAAGAAGCTCATCATAGTAAGTGGGGGAAATGGGTAAAGGGTGGGGAGGATACTATTTCGATGGTTCCTGAGTATAAGAGTGGAATATCTGCTCTCTGGTTAAGGTATTACTAGGTTGTTGCTATGCAGGGGTGATGTCCTTGATGCCACAGCTGTGTAGGCAGCAGCAGGACAACAGCACTGTGAAGTCTCAAGGACAAAACCTTTGGGATCAGACACCATCCAGGGTTACCTCTGCATCTGGAAAGACGATTCTACAGTCTTGTAGATGGGGACACGAAGGCCTCACTAGGCCTTAATGACCAGCAGCTTCTAAACATAGCTAAGGAACTGGTTCTGGGACTCAGTGCAGCTAATGAACTGATCTCAGCTATGTGCCTTGAACGTGGGAGTGTTTCCACCCATCCTGGCAGGGCATTCTTTTCCCATTCTAGAGACCCAATGAAAATGCTTAAGGGCCAAAGGAAAGGGCAGAGTGAAGCTTCCCTCTTTTTGCTTGAACCATTCACCCACAAGTTGTTACTGTTTTAAGGAGGCATTGTTGGAAACACGAAGTCCTATACAGGATGTTGGGAAGAGGCTGCCAATTCAGGTCACACTGGCCAATTTTGATTCTGCTGAAACTGAAATAATGGTAACAGGCAACCAAGAAATTATATACAGCTGAATTTTTTAAAAGCATATGTGTGATCCATTTTTCTATTTCATGTTCATAAAAATGAGCATGATGATATGTCCTTTTAATGGTCTGTATGATGCTACAGGCACTTAATTAAGACCAGTATTACTACTAATGATTTAGGGAAGGAAATTTGCTGAATTTCTTTTTCTCTAAATAATCCAAGAGGAAGATAGACCAATTGAATTGGTGGATTTAAATGATTTTAAGAGATGAAAGTGTAGTCAGAACATTTGTTTATCGTATTAGAACTTTTTGTTTAAGGAGACTTTTCTGCTACATATTTATGTGTTTGGAGCAGCTGTGGGGAGCATCAATGGGCTCACTTTGGACTGACCAATTTTGATGTCTCATGCAATTTAGGAAAAATTAATGATGTGGATTTTTTATATAACAATTTTCTCTTTTCCTCCTTCCAGGATTAAGTTGTCATCATTCTGGGAAGAAAAAAAAATTAACGAAGTGGCCAATAATATGAAGGGAATCTTGGATCAGTTTTCTTTCGCTCCCTGTGGTGAATTTCACTTACAAGAAAGTTGAAGCTGGCAAGACCCTGTTTTCTCTGCAATTTATTTAAAACCTTGCACGCATTTGGATACCTTGTGATTTCCAAGAACTATGTGAAGATTAAGCTTTGCTTACTGATACATGGCATGTGTTCTTTTCAGTCTTTTGTGTTTGATTTTGTTTGATTTCCCTCTGCAGCGCAGCGTCTCTGTAAAGGTTTTTATGCTTTCACCAGCCATGTCTTAAATACATTAAGACAACACATTTGGTGTTCACACTTCTTCAGTAATGTCTGTACTTGAAAGCCACAGAGTGGCATAAAACAATGTGTGTTTTCTTTGAGAGCAGTGCATATTTTGCAATCACTAGGAAGGAAATTTTCTGCTAAAGCAAACCTCTGTTCTCTGACTTGACAACTTGGCCCCTGACTGTGGGGCCCCACCTGTCGCTTACCTTTTGAGAACATTTGCAAATGTGGTTTTTTTACTTGGAAATAGCTGCACATTTATATATAGGATATTGGACTGTGCTTAGCATTTTCAAGCCACATAGCATGACTGTTTTTTGAATAGGTTGGGAGAGAAAAAAACAATTATCAAACATTAAGAGCAAAGACAGTGATAAATTGCTTATGTTTCAACTTCTGGAGATTGAGGTAACTTTGTGTCTGGGTCTTGTCCACATCTTATTTTTTTCCATCCATTCTGTTACACTTTGCATTTTCTAACTAGAGAAAAGAGTGAGGAACAGAATGTTTTAAACCTGGTGCAAAAGATTTTATCTGTCTGTTGGATGAGCCTTGAAAGCAATTTTGGCTGGTTAAGGCTTGCAAAGTAAATTACATAGTGATCCAGTTCAAAGTTTGCTCAGTTACAACAAAGCACCTTTTTAAAAAAATTACATTAAAAAAAAATTCCAAGCCATTGGAAGACATCATTGGGTTCCTTACTTTAAGACATCTCCTGAAATAACTGTTCAAATGTAGATTTGAGAAACAAGGCAGGAATCTTGCTTTAAAGATGGAAAGGGAATGGCCCAGCTTCCCTTGTTCAAGGAGTTGAGGGACCTTGGAGGATGCAGGTGAGTGTGTGACACTGGGGAAAAGTGGACCAGGCAGGTGTTTTGCTTTGATCTGGAGGGAGGGCTGCCTGATGCAGGCCGGCTCCCAGTGGGGCAGGCCTCGCTGCAGAATGCCCAATAGTACTGCAGCCAAAGGGGCAGTTAGGAGACTTCATCTAAAGCATGAACCTAGCTCCTCTGCCCACAAATTCCTACAGAAATACCTTTGTGTACATTGTCTTACATTTTCCTGTTGGTCAGAAAGAAGGAGAGAATGAGTGAGTGCTTGAAATGTGTCACGCGTTTTTAGGATCAAGACTAGGAATTAAGAGCCAGATTGACAAAGCCTTTTTCTGAGAGTTGGGTGAGAGTAAAGCTTTTCTATAATCAAGCTCAATACACTAAGGAAACTGGACGCAGAACTCTTAAACTTTAAAATGGTACTCTCTCCAGAGTGGAGTATGGGTCGTTATGTCAAGGTCATAGTTCATCCTATCCAGACATAGCATTCATTGTAAACTTTTAAGTGCTAAGCAAGGAATTATTTACTGATTGGTTTTAAAGAGAACAGAAAACACCCAAGTGTAGAATGTCTACTGTTTGCCACCTAGAAATCTTTTCCATTCCTCTTTCATACATTCCAACCCACTGGAAGTCTTTAGAGGTATTTTAATTTAAAGTGTACTTAAATTAGGATTTCTTAAAAATATATATAGGGAGAAAAATTTACATTGCAATTAAAAATGGCCTTTCCTGTGACTTGTTTTGAATCATTCATTTGGAGAAGCATGACTTTTGTATTTCACTAAGTCTAAAGCAAGAGCAACTGATCATTAAATGTTGCTTTTTAATAAGGTTTTTAATTTGAAAATATTTAATGTTGAAAGACTTCAACTAGGACTATTAGAGATGCATGTCCCTGTCATAGGCAGCTTCTTTGGAGAAGTGAAATATAATACTGATCAGCAGAGGGAAAATTCTGTTTTGTTACAGAGACATACCTCTCACAAGGTCAGGAGGTTTTGAGTACCCTATACTTGCCATCCATACAGGAAATCCAAAGTTTGGTTCTCTCTCTCTCTCTCTCTCTCTCTCTCTCTCTTTCTCTCTCTCTCTCTCTCTCTCTCTCTCTCTCTCTCTTTCTTTCCTACCCCCAACCCCTCTCGCTCCCTCCCTCTCTCCTTCTCCTATTTGCAATCATGTTCTCCCTCGGTTTCTCTTCTTTTCTGTCCTCTTTGTGGGCAGTCATGAAAATCAATACAAACTGTGTTCATTAGCAGATTTATTATTCTATTGAGAAAGCACTGGAATGTTTTGTGAGATTATTTTTATATGAAGGAATATCGTGAACTCAAACAGATGGTAAGAATAGTACAAACACCTTAGCACATCACTGCACACACAGTATTCTGAAAGGAGAGTTGACCCTTAATTTCCATTTTCTTGAAAGAACAGTTTGGTTGATTTAAAAATATACATAGGATGTGAAAAAAAAATGTTTGCAACGCTCAGCAAAAAATAGGGGACCTAAGACAGGGCGGCTGTCCATCCACTGATGCAGGGGTGAGAAGCAATTTCTACCTCCCAAGTGTGATTAGAAAGTTTCCAGGAGCCCTCCAGACTTACAAAGAAAGTGAGGCCTCTTGGTATCCATTCCTCAGTGTTTATATGACAGCCAGTATAATCAGTACCCTTGGTTATGCATCTATATAAGATACTCATCAGTGAATATTATTGGTTTTGTAATCTTTGTTATATAAGAAGATATTTAGGCTGTATATACTGGGGTAGATTATTGCCTGCCCCCTATACATAGGAATATGCTGCATAATTGTGCATAAGTTCCATCTCCCTTACTGGCTTGTAGGCAGAGGAAATGTATATGTTATTGCCTTGTAATTTTCTCATACACCAAAAACACACAAAAAATCAATAAAATAAGCAATCTTCTATTCTCATTCCTTTTCCTACAGCAGCATATTTTAGAGGCACATACAAAACCTACATTCTCTAGTTGGGAGTGGATTTTTTAAATTTTCCTTTTATCTTTTATTATTATTTTTTTGTATGATGCACTGAGATATGTACTTTCTAACAGGGGGTGGTACCTAAGAAATGTGTTAGCATTATTCAGAAAACTATTATACTTACAAATGACACATAGTAAGGAGAATGGAATAATACATGTTGCATATTTGTTGCCAGTTGTGATTTGTCTGTATTATGAAAGATGTAATGGTTTGTCAGCTGTCACTGTTGTTTTCTTGTAACATGATATGGAATAAAGTATAGCAAAATCTCCATACATCTTCTTGGTGGATGCCCTGGAAGACCATATACCATATCAAAAAAACATTGTCGTAAAAACCTTTTGGACACAGTGAAATTAGAGGAAAAATACACAATATATGGGAAGGAGTGAGTTAGCTGGAATAGTTCAGGAGTCTGTTAAACCCTCCCCTTTCCTTGATTTGCTGTGACAAATTTATGTAAAGGAGTAGAGGCCATGTGAAACAGACCCACCAGCTGCAGGATCTTCACAGTTCTCCCAGCCCCTTCCTGATGTTCACACATGTCACATGTTCTGCCCATCTGTCATGCCTCTGGAGCCTTTCTGGTTTTGTTCAGTGACAGGCCTATTTACCTTTTATTGGCTCCTTCTCTATTTTTTGCACATATTCTAAGATGAGGTGAGTAGGTTAGCCTCCACTGAATACAAATCAGAGCTTCAGTGTGCAGGAATTCTGCCAGAAACATGGCTGTTCATTCTGAACTGAGTGTACTTCCCACATAGGGGGCGTCTGCTCCTGAAACTGCAGGGCATTCTTGGGATCCCATGTTTGGATTGACAGTGCCAACCTGGGAGGTCAGTCCCTTTTCCATCATCATCTCCTTCTTGTCAGATATGCCATAATCTTAGGCCCCCATGATTTGATAAATTGTTAATAATGTTCATGCCAGGTATTTGGTGATTTAAAAGGCCACGCACGGTCGCTCATCCCTATAATCCCAGCACTTTAGGAGGCCAATACAAGTGGATCATCTAAGGTCAGGAGTATGAGACCAGCCTGGCCAAGAAGGCAAAACCCCGTCTCTACTAAAACAAAAATTAGCCAGGCATGGTGGCAGGCACCTGTAATTTCAGCTACTCAGGAGGCAGAGTCAGGAGACCCACTGGACCCCTGGAGATGGAGGTTGCAGTGAGCCGAGATCTCACCACTACACTCCAGCCTGGGTGACAGAGAGACTCTCTCAAAAAAAAAAAATGTATTCACAAGTTCACGTTCCATGTTAAGAGGACCCAGGATTCCAGCCTTTCTTCTGGGCAGACCGTTACCCATCAGGGGCAGCTACCTTATGTTTTCCTTACCTTGCTCTTCTCTTGAAATCTCTGTGATTTCAGTTTATAAACTCTTCACACAAAGCCAAACATAGGTGTCCTCAGTCGATACATATTTCTCCCCAGAAAAGCTCATGAGAGCGACCACATCTTCATCTTCCAAGTACTTCTTCAGTTTCCCCAGAGCAGTAAATCGTCTATGCAAGGGCAAATGTATTTCCAGACAGTCGCTGCCACCACTACTGGATTCTGGAACAGGAGATTGCACAGAGGTAGACTTCACAGTAGCTGAGGTAGAGATAATAGGCACATTTCTTAGTTAAATGGGAGCCATAAATTACGCTTGAAACTGATTAGAATTAATGGAAGTGTGAAAATAGTAACTTGTTCCAGGGAGTTGTTTGAAGGGAGCAAAATGTATGGCACTGTTTCACCTCCTTACAGGTACAGTAGCTCGTAGGCTCGTTGAGGTCACTCCCAGCAGTCTTGCAGCAAGCTCACATTTTAGAGATGTAATCACATCAGCTGTTAATAGAAGAAAGAAAGGGATGGAGGGTAGATATCTACAAGAGGCCAAAGAAACACCTTTGAGAAATATTTTTAACTTTTTTAATGTGGCAGTAGAAATGTCAGGCATTGTCTCAGTTTCATAATTGCCCGATGTTCCTATCATTCAGTGGGGCCTGTGCTAGCTCTGCCAGGTTGGAGGATGTGATGTGTGCTCACTGAGGCAAGCAGTTCGAGTCAGAAGGGTGGCACTCCTATAGTCGCTGTTGGCCTCCAGAGTAAAAAGAAACCAGAGGGGAAGGTGTTGGAGCAACCTTGTGCCACTGGGTTAACACGTACAGTTGCTGAATAATGGTGGGCATTGTAAATCTCTGCAATGAGAACCCTACAGTGGCCCAGCAGCCTGCTGCTACCAGTGGGTGGTGGCGTTATGGGCATTAGCTTTGAGAAGCTTATATAGCAGAGGGGGCTAGGATAAAGGACACAAATCAGGGAAAAACTGACAAGATTAAAAAAAAAATCCAAGGCCTCGTATTTACTGTTCATCCCCCATGCTCTCGGTGTGCTATATTGTCTGCATTGAGTCATGCTGAGAGAGAGCCAGGCACAATAATAGCTCAGAGCAGCCTTGCAGCCCCGGAGCCATCCTCTGCTGATGGTGCTGACTGTGCTAGTGGAGAATGGGATTCTGATAGAGCTGTCTTTTTTCTCCTTCCCTGCGAGACCACCAATAATTATGGAGGGCATGCTGCACAGATGAGGTAAGGGTTCCCTGTTGGGGGGTATCCTGAGAAATGACCCAGCAGGGGTCCCTGCAAAGGTATGTGCTCATAGCCCAAGGTGTGCCTGCCCGAGAGATGCAAACAATGCCAGGGAAGTCCAGGGACACATGTTTGAAACAATGGTTCAAGGGTTTAGAGAGGTTAAACCCTTGAACTGAGCTTATAAATGATACTACAGTGCGAAACAGTTACTCTTTTGCCCCCTCTCCATCTTCAACGAAATCTCATCACTGGGTACCTTTCTTCCTCAAGAAAGGCTATAATCCACTAAGATCCCTGGGAAAGTGGGCCAATCCTGCACCATCTTGCTTAACATTTGGGAAATTCAGACCTTCATGTGCTAATTCCCTTAGCCCAGTGTTTCTCAGCTCTGACTCTCCTTTGAATCACCAGGAAGTTTAAAAAAACACCCCATCCCAGACCATTCAAGAAATATTGTGGGGGGGGGGGTCTGCTTGGAGAAATCAACAGGTGATTCTATTGTGCAGCCAGCGTGAGAACTGCCTGACTCTTCCTTTCCTCCTGCCTGTCTGCTACTCCAGGGTGAGGGTCAGGAAATGTTTCTATAAGGGCGAGACAGTGAATACCCTAGACTTTCCCGACCATGCAGTCTCTTTCCCAGCTACTCACTTTGCTGCTATAGTGTGAAAACAGCCATGTACAATACATAGATGAATGAGTGTGCATGTGTTCCATGATAGCAATTTGTGGACACTAAAATTTGGGTTTCATGTAATTTTTACATGCCACAAAATATTTTTTCTTTTGATTTTTAAGAACTATTTTAAAGTGTAAAAGCTATTTAAGCTCACATATCTTATTTAAAAATGCAGTGGGCAGGAATTCACCTGGAGGCTGTAGTTTGCTTACCTTGGTTTCCAACACAGCCCTAATAGTGAAGTAGGCAAGAACCACCCCTAACATTTGCAGAGCCCAGGGTAAAAGTAAAAACGAACGCCCACATACCATATATTTAAATATTTAAAAATATATATCCAACTAACAAAATGCTAAATCTATTCTGTTCTCTTACTTTGACAAATATGCCTTTATAATGAACTTGAAGGCCAGATTCACGGTTAGATTCTTGGACTCCTCAAAGTTCCTCACCAAAATGTTGCAGTATAGAGGGAGCCAGTGCAGCTTGAGACTGACCCACTTCTTTTCACTTCCCATCCCCAGCTCCATCCATGATGTAAGGGCCACAAATGCATGTGTGTGGACCTCCCAGCCCCCACATCTCCATACCTTCCTCAAACAGCTTCTCTGGCCAGTGGGATGAGGTACATGCCCTCAAGAGGGTAGTTTTGGGGAAGACTCCATTTGCAGAGAGTATGCCAGAGTCATGGGTCATAGGCATCTGGAGTATATGGAGAAATGGGGGAGATAAGTTCCTGTTGGTCATGGCACTATGGATTCCTCGTTCTGTGGAGAAGGACTATGTCTGCAGCAGGCTGGAGCTAGGCCACTTGATCATAGAAACCAAAATGGGAGTCCCTCTTGCCTAGATCTAAGTGCACTACTGGTGAGTGGTAGGAGCCTAATTAATAGCTCCAGTGAGCTTTCAGGTCCCTTGTGTGTTTCTTTGCCTTACTCCACTCCAAACTCATTAAAACAAGCCTCATCTTAACGTGAGGCACAACCAAGGCAAGGGAAAACAAATTTGTTCAGAATCTCTGTTAAAATTAAAGTATCTGACCTCCAATCAGTCATGTACTGGAAGCAGCTGCTACTAGTTCATAAAAACCAGTTCTAAAATGTTTAGGAATTTTGTAAGCCAGTCCTAAATCATTGACAGCTTGAAATCAGAAATTGGCAAACTCTGCAAATAACGTTTGGATTTTGTTGTTGTTGTTTTTGAGGAGTTTCCAGCACACCACTACCTCTCAGCCCCTTTCTTTCCCACCTCATCTCCCGTGCCTCCATGTGCACATCCTCTGCCCTCACCATGCTGAGCTTCCCATAGGTCCCCGGATGGTCCAGACCTTCTCACGCCGCTGTTCTTTTGCACACACTGTTCTCTCTGGAATGCCCTTTCCTGTTTGTTGATTAAATTTCTATTGATCCTTTTAAGATCTTTTTCAAAAATTATCTCTGTTGTAAAACATTCCAGAACTCCCCTGAAACAGTTTCTCCCTTTTTTATGTCTCCACATCACTTTGAATTTTTAATGTCTGTATCCTCAAGCCTGAAAATGGTGCCCAAAGTGTAGTAGATGTTTAGCCATTTTAAAACAAATTAATCAATTATTAAAAGATAATGCAGATTCAATAAGAGTGAAATGGGACTATTTTCTTTCTTTCTAAGAAATAACGCTTTCTTAGAAAGGGTGTAGTGGAAAGACTTCAAACAATATGAGTATACTACATGTGTACCATATGTAATGATATGGGATCATATGCAAGGTAAGGCCTGGCTCTATGTGGGGGAAACCAAAGAGGAAAGATGTCTGCTTGTCCTCTCAGGAGCTCATGATGCACAGAGGCAGTGATTCCTACACCCGGCTGACTATCAGAATGGCCTGGGGAGCTTTCTAAACATTCCTGCTGAATCGCAGGGGCTGAGGCTGCAGCCAGACGTGTATATACACTTCAGATTTTCCTCGAGTGATCTTCTGTTGGGACCCCATATGGAAGTTTAAATACATAACCTCCTAAGTGGTCTGTTAGCCT